TCCAATAAAATATCAGAAGTTGAAATCAGTTGAATGTATGGAGGTAAACTGAAATCGAGCTTATTTGTATTTTGTAATACTTGTTTATTTAACATTATTTTATATATTGCATGACTAGAAAATTAGTTTTATTTCACATTTTTAAAATATCATTATATCACTATATAACTATCATTATATAACTATAATTTTCATTTCTAGAAAAAAGTTGTCCTGTAGATCCTGAAGGACCAGAAGGTGTATCAATTTGCTTATCATTGTTATTTACTTTTTATTTTATTATAATATAATATGAATTTGGCCGGTTACTTTTGGTGCAGCTCCACTTGGATATTTGGCTGACATCATTCCTTTTTATTTATTTATACAGTAACCCCTCCCTATCGTTTAAACATCAATTCAGCTTATCATTTACCAAAACGAACCTTGCTGCAAACCCTACCCTCTTACCCAACATCCCAGTGACTCCTCGTGGAAGTGCAGAGGATTTCTCGGCTTCCATCAAAGCGAGTGTCACGTCAACACATTCCTACCCATTCCTTTCTTGACCTGCGTTCAGGCGCGGCTGGCGCTGGTATTGCCTAATTTGAGATCACCAGTTTTTACACATTGAGGATGATTGCTAGTCCCAAGCATCGTCTATTGGTTCTCTGTGTAATTACAGCTGATCTGGCAATAACAGAGTAGCAACCGTGGGCGGTCAATCATGCTCATGCTCATGCTCATGCTCATTAAGTGTGTACAACCAGCCTATTTGTGCAATGGTTCGTATGCTTGTATCCGTCGAGTCCGCGTTTGATTTTGGTATGCCACACCTCAATTTGTGAATAGAGTTAGAAGCCTGAACCTTATATAAGACGAATAGTTTATTCATTAAGACAACTTTGTCAGATGGCTTATTAATTAAATAAATAAATAAATATCAAACATGGATTGTTAACCACTACATCTCGGTCGCTGCAGAGACTGCCTCATTTGAATAAGATTCTGTTGAGAAAGAAAGATTGTTGAAAGGAGCTTAGATGTTCTGATTGCTCATAAAATTCTACGGATTTCATTGATACAAGTGTATCATCCTGTTTAATGTTAAATTGAGGGGTGGCAAAAAATTTCTTCGGCTATACTATCAGACCAAACCTCCATTCGTCCAAACATCCGTATTACAAATACTGCATTATTATGGAAATTTCCTCCTTTGTAGTTTTGAAATTCACGGCGCCGATCGAATATCACAAGTTTTAGAAGTTTTGTAACAACCCCCGTGTTTCACAATATACATTTTAATTGAAAAAGAAAAATCAATGCTAGAAGATTAAGATGCTGTACTGCAAACAATTAAACCCATTTAAAATAAATCTCGAATCCTAGCACAATTTACATTTATTTACAGTCCAATCTAGGAAAAGTGATTTCTCATCTACAAACAACACATCCCGCTCGAAACTATTTTCCATGTAAATCGGTAATAAATATATGGACATTTATTTCTCTTTCCCGTCGTCCAATCGGGCGATCTACTATCCCGTCACCCCCCCCCCCCCCCCGCCAGCGTTGAAGAAGAATCGCAACGGTGAAAGACCCTCACTGTCGAAGTCGCGGCCGTGCGGGGAAATGTTTATGATTTAAGTGCGATGATTTAACTCCGGATGTCATGCGTCCTGTCCTGCTCTGTCTGCGTGTGTCGCAGATTCTTGCAGCTTCACACCGCGTGTCGCGTCATCTTTGCTAAATCCCTCGTCGGGCACTCTCCCGAGCTTCCCTGGTGGTGGGTCCCTGACGACAACGACGACGACGATGTCACTGACCAGACCTGACACCTCGCAACAGAGAGTGGCTGATCACACACGAGACACTATAATTACAGATTTTATTGCACCCCATCAATAATGTTTTACGTTCAACGACGCTGCGCTATTGGAAGGAACCTACGTGGGGCAATCGATCGGGACGAAGAACATCTTCTTTCTAGCTTGGCTAGCACTGCGGCTGTAGGAAGGGGGAGTAGACGCAATATTCTCAATCGCGAAATGGTGATTTGTTGTCCAGGAGATGAGATTATCTCGCTTTGGGTCTGTGTCTCGATAGAATACGGCGGGTAGATTGGCGTTGATCGTATAGCACACTGAAAGGGTAGTAAAAACAGAGCGGTGCAGAATGTTCTGGGCAGCCGTTAAAAGTTATGGTTACAAGATGGATCGGTTGATTAGGTTCGCAATGATTGGTTCTGATTGTTTCGATCGAAAGACGAGGTCGTACCGCGCGAGGAAATCGATAGCTGCTTGTTTAAAATTCACTCGGTTCACCGCAGGTTCGGCCTTGACCCTTGCACGTGTGGATTCCTTGTAATTCTCGCTTCCCACTGACAAAGCAAAATGAATCTTTTGTACGTGACTGGTAATCAATTTCCAGCAGATTAGTCACACCACACTCGATCGCTTAAACTAAAGGCTCTGACTAATGGAAACTGTATCAAAACAAAGTCTCCAAATCAACCGTGCTTGAACGATCACATTGTAAGTGGTCACTAAATTTATTACCCTCGTCATCGTTCAGGCCTCGGCTGTTATCTAACTACCCTTTTTACAGTCCAGCTCCTCGTGATCGTAATTCATTATAGCGAAACATTCTTAGCCCAGCCAACCCAACCGATCGCGGATCCTTGGTGTGCTGAATTTGCTCCAGAAAACTCGTGCCAATTGTCATCCCCTCAAGGCCCAAGAATTGCCAGATCTGTTTGGCAAAACTTAGCGCACGCGGCGGTTCAATATGCAAATTTGATCCTTCCCGCTCTCCATCTCCGCCTTACGGGGGAAGGGGGCATAAACTTCGGCCGTTTTGTTTGCTCTATTGGACCCCATTAATTCGCAAACTCGACGATCGTCGTCGATCGTCACCGCCGTGCGCCACCGCAGCACCGCTGATTGATTCATTGTTCTCCGAGGCGATCACTCTCTGCCGTGTGTTTCGATTTTCGTCGTCGCCGTCGCCGTCATCGTCGTTGTTGTTGGTGGTACCAAATCTGGATCGCAGCGCACGGAGATCCTCTTGAGGGCATTTTGGATGCCACTACTGCTCCGCTGAGATCGAGAGGAAAATTGTCGATCCGGCGGAGATTTATTTATTGTCTTGTTACCCGATGCTGCTGATGCAGTCTTTGTTACAGGGCTGATCGAATCGAATCGAAAGCGAGAGTTTGACTCGGGTGATTTCGATTTCATGCAAGGAATGTTGATTATTTGTGGTTGGTATGGTATGTATTTTTTTTTTGTGTGTCGTTGCAGTTGCATGACAAAACATCGAACAGGAGATGTCAATGCCACGGGTTCGTCGCCTGCGGCGGGTGATTTCCGTGCCTCTTTCGCGGATTTGTCTTGTTAAATTCAGAGGAGAATTTTTGAGATTACATAGACTAGCTGTCTCTTGGACTGGTGCAGAAGTTGAGCTCAAGGCCCCGAAGTCTAATATAGAAACATTCTTTATTTAGGTTGAAACTTCTCTACAAGCATCTAAACTCTAATGGGGTGTTTACATCTGGTACTAAAACGTATTCAGCATGTACCAGCATGAGATTTCAGGAGCTACTGAAATTTATACTAGTTGGTTGAGTTGGTTGAGTTAGTGAACTATCATAAGTATAACCACCCCATAAGGAAGCACACCTTCATTACAAAGAGTATGAGTATGTTTGACCACCCGTGGTTGCTACTCCGTTATTGCCAGATCACCTCTGTTTACATAGTGAATCAATAGATCATGCTTAGGGCTCAATATGTTAAAACTGGTGATCTCATAAAACTGATTTTATCTTGACAAAATTACCGATTTTAATATAATTTTATATATAAATATTTATATAAAAATTGAACTTCTTAACTTCAACTGTCATTTTCTCAATGCCTACTTTTTCTTCTACAAGAAGGTCATGCGAAACGTTGTAACAGATTTAAATGCTTAATGGCTGTAATAACTGTTTAGTGAGGTTTCATTAAAGCATTGTTTCGCAGTTTCATCGTCATTTACTTAAACGCATTTAAACGCTCACCCACGTGCGAATCGTTAAAGCTCTTTAATATACACATGCCTTGTACTGGCAGCTCCCGCCAACCAACAAGGAACCTTACAGTTCAAGGCCTTCCTACTGTCTAGCAATCCAACTGCAGAATTCTGATCCACCAATTCATGCCAAATCAGCATCTAAATCCATCCAGTCACTCGCTCGTGCAAATCCACCTACCCAAACCTCAATTTAAATCCCCCTCGCAAATTTAAACAGCGCCATCTTCTATTACAGCCTCCCTCTTTCCGGCAACCGTTTAGTCGAATCACCCCCATACGTCTGTCTGTGGTGTCTGCATGCGGAAAAAGCCATCCATCATCACCGTACATATATTGCAATGTGCGGTGTATCGCTAATTTGACTTTTATGGCTATTAGCAGCTAGAGAAAACGATCTGCGATTGTTGCGTATCCTACAAATAACATGTCTTATGCGAGGAACGACCCCTCCCGGTGAGAGAGAGAGAGAGACAAGGTGAGGGAGTTTCTACGACTGTTCCTTATTACTCACTTCAGTAGTATTTAGCAGCCGTTTGGTACCTCCCAGGCTTTACCGCCGCGCGCGATCACAGAGTTGCAAATCCAATTATTTCGCCTTCGCCGAGACAAATTTATTACCTTCGCCATCGCCGCCGTCGTCGTCCTCGTCGAATGGGAGGGGGACAAGTGTGTGACTAAAACCGTTTTGCGCTAGATTATAATAAACTTGAAGACGCAAAGCCGTCGATTTTATGGTGGCGCTGTTCCAGAGGCTGTGGGTTACCTTGAACCCTCAGCATTAGCCCCTAGGACAATCGACGATGATCGGGATTATTGGGACTTACTCACGATGAACAAACTTTCATAAGCGATGATTGACGCAACATGCACCACACCCTCCTAATAACAGTACTGTCAGACACTGATGATGACTAATGACCATCTCTCTCATTACTCACCAACAGGTTCCACATCGCAGCTGATTGCGCATAGTTCTCGCGTCCGGACACCTCAGCGTCACAATTCCGAAAGTATCCTGTTCATGACCACCGAAGAGCAACAGCAACATCAACAACAGCAGCAACAGCAGCAGCACTTGCTCCACCAACATCAGGCCCTGCTCGGTAGTAGCCATCAATCGCCGGCGGCAGTTGGTTTGGTGTCCCAGTCGATGGTGTCGCTGCATCACCACCACTCGCACCCGCCACATTATCTGAACGGATCGCTCCAGCAACAGCACTCGCAAGGAAGTCCCACCAGCTCCTCATCCTCCAGTGGATCGCCGGTCGGGGAGGATCTGCGGTTTCAGCACAGGACGCCCTCGAATACGTCCCTGGCATCGTCCGCGTCCGCACCTCCCGGCAATGGGACCGGGATGAGTGGCGGCGGCAACAGCTGCAACAATTCGATCCGATCTAGTCGTAGTAATAATCGGCTGTTTCCCATCAGCACCTACACCGAGATTCCTAGCAACAACGTTAGCAGTAGTAATGGTAGCAATAATAATAATAATAGTAGCAATAATAGTACGAGTAGTAATCCGGCCACACCCAGTGGCATCAGCCTGGTTGACGGTTCCAAGTGAGTATTTTGTGTTGAAAAGGAAGGAGTTCCCAATCCCGTATATAGCAATGACACAACGAAAAGGTTGGGAACTTCTTCAATTTAGGATAAGTTTATCATACATTTAATTCAATTACTGCATGCTGCTTCCTCAAGTTGGAACTACTACTACTACTGGTATTTCCTGCTAAATTGTAACCATTTGTAACCGACCCCACCCTACTGACACACATTTTCATTTTAGGCAACTCAGTCCGCACAACTGGCAATCGGTAGCCGAGCGCATCAACGAGCTTGAAAAGCATCAGCTAAACAATAACAACAACAACAACAACAACAACAACAGCATCAGTGGCAATAGCAACAACGCCAACCCTTCCAAGAATCTAAGTCAGCATACGGCGGCAGCCCCTAAGCCTCCACTACAGCAGCAGCAGCAACAGCAGCAGCAGCAAAGCCCCCAGAAGTATACGTATTTCGATCCGTCCAAAACGCACCGGGTTCCGAACCCATCGCTGAAGGCGTTCCAGAAAAACGCTGTGATATCCTACTTTGAGCGGCAGCAGGCACACGCTCGCGAAAGCAACCACAACCTTTCCCGGCCGACGACGTTGAACCTGCACCAGCAGCAACAGCAGCTGCATTCGGGATCACCTCCGTCCCTGAAATCGTTCTCGCAACGTTCCTCCATCTCCAGTGCGTACTCCTCGTCGGGGAGTACCATGGACCTGACTCCGTCCTCGCAGTCTCCGCTCGCCGGAAACTACCACCACCATCCGAGCATCGTCGTTCAGCAACAGCTGGACAAGATCGCTGCCAACAACCTCCGGAATCAGTTGGCTTCCGTCCATACGATGAATCTCCTGAACAAAGTGCAGTCCCCTCCGTGTCAACAGACTGCCCAACTTATCGAATCGCAGATGATCAGCAACGCCTCGTTAATTCTCAGCAACGATCAAACTCCGGACTCCGATGCCCTGGATGCCAATGGATCTCCACCGCCGCCGCCTCCACGATCGCGATCGATCGGAATGCCCGGTATTAGCAACAACACGACCATGTTAACGGCAGCAGCTACGCACGCAGCCCAGCTGGCCACCGTTCGAAGGTAAGTTGTAGTTCGGCACGAGTCGCCACATGCCTCGGCTTATGCAAATCTACATGTCACGAAAAGTATGTTCCTCGTTTCTACCGGTTTGCGACCCCAACCTAAGCACGGGGGGTGAACAAGATGTAATAAATCATTTTAGCAACTTCCATGTTGTGACCGAGTGCGTCGTTTCTAATTTAGCGTTTCCTTTCACTCTCTCGCTTTTAGGACCTCCTCGGCGTCGGAATACTCGTCCCTCCGTGATCAAATGATTCAACAACGGCAGCAACTATCCAAGGATCTCCTCGGCCCCATGATCATGGGTCCCATCATTGCTCTGGATGATTGGGTCCCGGAGCGGCCTCCCAAGAACCCAATGCTCCGGATACCAAGCCCCGAACTTCCACCACCTCCTCCCATGATGAGCCCAACCGAAGACGTAGTCCTTCTTTACCAAGATGAACCCCTGCCACCTCCCCCACCGGAAATTCTCCGACACATTCGGCAACTCAGCGACTCCGGAGAACCGAAATCGAACACTACAAGCCGCCGGAACAGCTTCGCCGGTCAAACAAACAAAAAGTCCCTGTACCGAGCGTCCACCTTCGAAAATCTATCCCCTCCTCCCCCGGGAGCACCACCATCCCAACCGCAAATCAGCCAACTGATCATCCCTCCCGCCGTGCCCAAGAAACCCCAACCCATGGATCCCCAGGTCATCTATCGACGGCCATCGTCCAGCATGGCAAAATCACAACAACCTGCTTGCAATTCCCCCACACCCAACTCCGTCCACCAAGCGCATCGAGTAGTGGTCAATGGCAAACCAGACCAGAGGCATTCACTCCCGATGCAGCTCAATTCGCCAACCCAGCAGTTCGTCCCGCGTCAATCGGACGCGCGAGTCTCCATGCGAAAACGATCGCACAACTCCCAACAAATTCCGGTGGCGGAGTATCTCCTGAAGGCGGTTGCCGTCACGCATCATCAGAACGGTCAAATGGTTCCTCCCTCTACAACTACCGTTGCAGCAACAGTTGCCACTTGTGTTAACAACAATAACAACAACAACAACGGGGGACTGATGATGATGACATCGCCGCCACCGCCACTGAAACCACGGATGTCGTTGCAGCAGCAGCTATCGTTGTCGCCGCTTCAGGATCTCCAGAATGGTGGACCGCTGATCTCCATGGGCAGTAAAAGGTAGGTGGTGATCGATCGAACGATCCAGATTATTATTTACCGGTGAGGAAGATCGTGTTTTGCTTGTGGTCTATCTCTAGGCGATTGCTTGTGATGATTATGAGGAAGATCGCGTGTAACGAGAAAGATTACTCTCCCACGGGGTATGAGGTATGCTGATAAAAGGCCCCGTTTGTTGGAATATTAACACTTGTTTGCGAAATGTTTCTGAAATTATTATTAGTTGCGTTGCAAATGAAGTTAATTTATGATTTTCAGAAACCAAATTCAGTAGAATTTCAGAGGTTACCCGAATATTTCCCAAGAGTTCACCACTTGAAGTTATTCATAAGCCTTGTGGGGTTTCCTCGCAAACAATGTGGAGTTGCTTCACAAAACCCGTGGATATCTCCATAAGTTATGTGTAGATTGTTCGCAAGTCCTGTAGAATGGAACCAAACATCCTGGGGCGATGCTCCGAATGTTTTGTGGAGCTGCTCATACGAAACTGTCACTGTAATCCTATAGGTTTGTTTCACAATTTCTGCTAAATCTCCACAACTTATGTACAACCCCACATAAGTTCCATTTCCTGTAGAGTTGCTTTTGATTATTGTCTAGCAAAACCTGACCATCTTTCTCTGGAAATTCTTCAAACATTTTCGATTTGTCTGGTTTTCTTGCCCCTTTCTCTACTGGATAAGTTCAAAAGACTTCAACGAAAACAGCTCCAACTGGATTTGAAGTTGCTTCCATAGAAGTTCTCAGCACTCCACTTCACTCTTTAACTTCCGGTTCACTGAACATCAAGTGAAATTTCCGTTGGATTTCCATTCAAACTTCTTTGGAACTCTCCTGGATGAGATTTGACTTATTTCTGACGATCGTTTGAGTTTCCCTTAGAAGTACAATGAACATCATTTAGTAATCCTCAGATATTAGGGAACTATTGTTGAAAGTCTCAAGATGCATCGTCGATTTTCTCATGCAGATTATTTGAAACTATCCAATGAATTTTTCAGATGTCTTCTATACTTTTGGTCATGACAATTCTCAAATTTTCATATTACGTGCTCCGAAATTCTTGGAAACTCAAAGCTCTGGTGTCGTTCAGACATCTCGTGGTTTACGTGAATTCTAGAAGTTCTTCCGCTAGATGGGGTTTCTTTGAGATTTCTTAAACTTCTTGCAAGTTTTGGGAAATTTCTTCAAATTTTGCGTTAAATTCATTTAAACATCTCAAGATTTATTCTCTAAAATTCTTCTGAAACACTGCATTCAAACTTGCGCTGAAAGTTGACATGTCTGTAAAAGTATATCCGGGCATCCTCAATCGAACTTTCCTTAGAAACTTTTTGAACTTACCACGGTTATCTTCTGATCTTTCTAGAAGTCTTCGGAACTACTGGGAACTCCTACGAGCTTTCCCATGTGATCTTCGGGAAGTATTTGACCGTTCGACCGAATGCGATTATCCTTGAAGTCACTATACCGAGCGTAATTATGGCAAATCGATCATAAGGCCGCTTGTTTAAAAGTTAGAAAAGGAACATAGACATTATTTTAGCGATCTTGGTCTTGCATAATGTCGAATTCTTGGAGTTGAAATTTAAATCCGTGATCGTGATGATCCTAAACTGTTACAAGATGTTAAAACTTAAAAAAATATTCAAGATTTTAAGAGATCATTAAGAATCATGATCTTTTACATAGTAACAATTACAAGATCCTTATCAAGGATACATTTTAAGGTCTTTCAACATAAATTCTAGATTTAAAAATATTCAAGATTACTGACAAAAAATACAAAATTCCAGACTTCATTTTATAACTACTGGGTCTTTGATATTTTTTTAAAGGTAGGACTACGTCTGTGATTTCTATATGGGGTTACACTTTGTGAAAACCAAAAATGGAACTTGTAACAAAATTATGAAAGATTTTGAACGTTAATAACTCAGCTGCCCCTGGACCAATTTCAATAATTTTATCACCAATCGATTAGAAATATTTTTACGCATCCGTTTAATTTAAGACTTTATCATATTTCAAAATGTCAGTATTGAAAATTGCACGAATGTGTAACTGTTGCTATGATTATCACCGTTTGTCTGCGAAAAGCGATTTCCCTAACACAGATTTCAAAGTTGAATTCCATCCGGTCTCACCAAACAGTGTTTATTCAATCACCGCGTGGTGAGTGGTGGTATTCTCCAGTACACAACGAAAGGCTCCCCACAAGCAGCTAGCTATCAAGGCTGGCCTCAATCGCTGATCGGATTCAGTTCCAATCACCGTGTGTGGTGGTGTCCGGTCGTCGGCATTAGCAGCAGGAGCAGTGCTTTCAGCGCGTGGCTGCAGCCCACATGAGCATCAATAGAAGGAGTAAGAAGCCGCACCGCCATTGGTCGGAGTCTGTAGCTCTTCGTGAGTCGCTGTGGGCCATCTATGTCAAGTGCGTCATACTAAAGAGTATAAATAGAGATAACCCCGCTCAAATTCCTATTCCTACACTGAGGTAAATAAAATTAAGAATTTCATAAGGCTCGACTTATGAACAACACATATTAATTTCATAAGCGTGACTTATGAATGATTTTCGGGTAACATGAGGTAGCTCTTATACGGCTTTAATAATTGCATTTTCCCAAGCGTGGAAAATAAAGTGGTCAACACACGGGCCCCGTGTTCTCTGTTCCGATTTATTATTTTTTTGCCAACATTATTTTTCATAAGGCAAATCAATGAAATTCATACTGATTTCTTAAATTTCATAAGTATTTCTTATAGAATTCTTATGTTTTTTGCCTGCGTGTACAGCAGTTAACAAATAAGATTTATTATATAAGACCACGTAGTCCTGCGTCACCATTGCGTACAACCCCATAGGGCTGTCCCTTGTAGTTTTTTAAATTCCAAACTGAACAGACTTTGAAGGTCCTGGATGAAAAAAAAACAGCTTGTCACTAAGCTTTGTTTTTATAATGAATTCAGTAAATTTGTGGATCTGTAAGTCAAAACGAATCGAACACAGTTCGAAAAAGTAGTACAAATTTCTGTTCGATGTGATGCACATAAATGGAGCGTCACATATTATACAGTGTATCTCAAAATTAATCGTAGACCAATATTTAAATTTTATAAAAAAAGGGCTCTAAAAGCACTAGTTAAAAAGATACGTCTCTGACTCAGCATACACAGATCATTCATCTGCCATTAATTTTACTAATCATCGTCCACTAGGTAAAACAGTTGAAAATCGAGCGTTTTACAAAACTTCATACATCTAACCTCCTCCAATAAATACCAAAATTATAGCAATAAATCAATAAACATCTGTTCAATCACCAGGAACAATTTAAAAAATGCTTCTATTCACCGTGTTTAAAAAAAATCTTCTAGGAGGTACGATAAATTTTGAGATACACTGTATAAGTTTATATTATAATTCGTGTACTTACTAAAATATCACAACACGAATTTCAGAACAAATTCAGCTCTAAGACTTGAAAAAACAACAAAATACCGAACATGGATAATGCATCATGAGGATGAGTATGATTGAACGCCCACGTTTGATACTCCGTTATTGCCAGGTCACGTATTTTTACACAGAGAACAGCATGCGACATCAAAATGAAAAACTGATGAAGATGGTTTCATACTTCACAAAAGGTAATACTAGCGCCGGCCACGTCCAAATGCCGATCATTTTCAGAAATTGTTAGGAGGATTGTGTAGATGTGATACTAGCTTTGTTGGAAACCGAGAAATCATCTGCACGTCCACCTAAATTCACTGGGATGCGGGATAAAAACGGTTGCGTTTGCAGCACATTGTTCCCATGATCATCTGCTTGGTAAGCAAAAACGGTCGCCATTGGGGCACCAAGCCCCTGATATCACAACGCACCACTTATGTTCGAGATCTTGTTACCATGTTACCCGGATGTGCTCATATTAAGAATGAAAGTGATGTGACAGTAGCGACTGGGATTAACCAACGATCATATGACCGTTAAGCAAAAACGGTAGCCATTAGACCACCGAGTCCTTCATATCAAATACACCATTTAAGCTTTAATGTATATCCAAATTGGACATTAGACTGATGCAAAATTTGACTTTTTCGCTCCACAGTGCTTAAATGGTTTCAAATCAGGTCCTGATTAGCCTCCCAAAGTTACAACTCATTTGGTTAGAAACAGACTTCGCACAAGCCATTTAAAGTTTACATGTAAATTACTATGGGAAATCTCAACTTTTTGTTCATTGCCTTCTAGCCTTTTTCCATATTGAGCTGCGAAACGGTTCGATAGCCATTCTTAAAGAAAATTTTCTCAGCTACAACTTTGCTGAAAATCGTTTCTATGTAAAACAAGACAGGAAAAAGTTATTAATTATTTAAGAGATTGGTAAACTTATGACATGATCAAGCAACTGTTCTGTAGGCAACACTGTATTTTGCAGTGTGACATAGTAGCCATGATTTTTGTGTCCTATTCAACGCCCCAGAAACACCAATGTTGCCTGCTAAGCAGTTGATTGAGCATGATCATAAGACATCAGCGCATTGAACCATTGATAACTTTCGATCCTTGCATTTAATCAAAAAGTGGTCTTGAGCAAAGTTGTAGCTGGGAAAATTTCCTACAAGTACAGTTGAAAGCTTTGGAAGCAGACCGATATGGTGAATTATTAGATAGACATGAACAACAATCTTGGTTTTACTATAGTAATTCCCATACAAACTTCAAATGGTTTGTGCCATCTCAGTTTCTCACCAAATGGGTTCAAATTTTGAGAGGTTAGTCAGGATCCGATTTGGAATCGTTTTACGTATTGTGGAGCGAAAAAGTCAAATTTTGCATCAGTCTATTGGACATGGACAAAGTATCATAACTTTTAAAAAAAAGTTTGGACTGTAACAAGTCGTGATCTCGTTATAATGGGACAAATTTACATAACTTCCTATATCAAACATTTTTCAAGATTCTTGGACATTGACAAAATAAAATCAAT